GAAAAACTCTCGACTCAATCAGCGTTAGTGACGTCATGAATGACGTTGCGTCATTATGACATCACGCAAGGTCCAGCAGCAAAACTAAAGCATCGGACCTTGCAAAGAATGCGTGAAGTACCTACGTCCTCCCCGTAAACTATTGTTTGGCGTTTCGCAATAGTGACATCTTTAAGATAGGCTCACTTACGTGACGTCATAGTTCAGTAAAGTGAGCTTATATGAAAGTTCATTTGATGTCACAAGATAATCAGCTAGCTAAATTGTAATAACTTTCTAGCTTCAGCACTCTATCGCCAATGCGTCCCCAGCAGTGATGAGAAAACCGTCAAAGGTGGACAGCATTCGCTCCCTCGGCCACAGGGGGTTAAACCTCGCTCTCTTGAAAACAATACGCCATTATTGACGTTTTTGGATCTTTGGGTCCTAACTTAGCTTTCGTAGGTGTCTTAAGCATCTTTAATAAAAAATGAACAGCGTTGCAACGAGCTCTTGATCACATTTGACCTTACACTGTAAACCAAATCTACAAGTTGGCTCCTTGTTACAAGTTTGGTTCCAATTCGCATAGGCGTCACCTTGTCGATACCTTGTCGATTCACCAACCCCAGGCTTGTTGGCCAACAAACTAACAGTTTGTCTACAAGTTTGGTTCCAATTCGCATAGGCGTCACCTTGTCGATACCTTGTCGATTCACCAACCCCAGGCTTGTTGGCCAACAAACTAACAGTTTGTCTACAAGTTTGGTTCCAATTCGCATAGGCGTCACCTTGTTGAGTACTAGTCTGGGCCTTGTGGACCTACCAACTTCTGGATAGGCATATTCGTTTCCTTGTCGGTTCACCAACCCCTGGTTTGTTGATGAACTTACCTTTGACTGGGCATTGCTAGCTTACAAATTGTCAACAAGTAAGTGTACTAACGCTCTGTTCGAATTTGTCAACAATGGCTTTGTTTGCGTTGATAACCTTAAGAACTTACGATTCGCGTTCGTTTTCAATAGCCACGATACTGATTCAGGAAATATTTTCTATACGGACAGGTTATTTTTTGGCTGGAAGTGGTGCGCAAAACCATGACTGGCATCAGTTATTGCTCAAAGGCTTGCGCTGACAAGAAACGAAATACTGATGGGTTATATAATCAATGAATGCATGCACCACATCCATTCAGAAGTTTCTGGAATCATTAGTATTTATTACGGTCACGTAATTAATACTATTGACTGGAGACAATTCCGAGTGCATATTTTCGAATGGACGTGGTAAATGCATGAGGTAGGTATAGGCCAGTAGGTATACCTATCGTGCACCGTCAGCATATAAGTCTTTGAAGCAAGAACTGCTGCGTATGTGGAAGAACATATTTTTGTGCACCGCATCAAGCCAGAAGCCCATTGCCCGTATGACGAATATTTCCTGAACATTAACCATAACAATCATGGCAGTTGCACGATCACGCAGATAATTCGAATAAATCATGATCGCCAACCAGATTAGCTTTTACAGCCCATATATGTCAATCAGTTAAGCTAAAAATACAAAGAGTTGAATTAAAGGCAAATAAATGTATTTATATAAAAAACACCGACCGCAAAACATCTGCTCACATGTGCATGCACAGGTCTGGCCCACTTACATTGCGCGCGCAGGGGAAGGGAGGCGTCTCGAACGCGGGTATAGGCACGATTAGTGCGTCCCGCAGACCAGAGGGGGCCTCACTCACAGCACGAACACCACAGTTCACAGATTTCACTTTTTACTGCACAAATGCTGGAACAGCCCTCGTCGCTGCTCCAAGCTGCACGGCGGCCGCGCGACAACTGCTGGTTTGAAACCGCCGCGCCGGGGCCCGCTAACGGCGGGCGGCGACCGCTGATTGGTCCGCCAAGTCTGACGTCATAGGCGCAGCTGACCATGTGTATGCTGACCAGCTGACCAGTACAAGTTAGGCGCCGGTTAAATAACCATGCGGCAACAAGTTTCCAAAACTGGTTAAGAAACAAACGTTGAAACAAATGTAGAGTTGGTCTGGATACTGAGAAGTTGGTGTGCATAGTAACTATTGACTCGTAGTTGTCACCTGACAAGCAATGCACCAGACAACGGCTTGTTCAAAAAGTATCAGTTGGTAAACATACCAAGAGATGATTGGTTATATTACACAAGACTTGTCAATTTCGTTTACAGTGTACTCCGTTCAGATCGGTTGACATTTATTGTTATTTTTTCCACTGTACGACGAAATTCAATGTTGTATAGCGACCTTCAGGGGAAAAACATGTTTTTAATATTTTCATCATTGAAAGTCAATACGTTGACAAGACTTTTGCTGCAAAAATAAATTGTAAAAAAGATGGCCACGTTCTCAAAATTGGATTTTTATAAATCAATTTTATGTTAAAAATAAAACATCAAAATTTTCAAAAATAATTGATATCACGAAAATCTTTGGTTAGTTTTAATTGTGATGCTATGCAGTTTTATATGAATCTAATGGGTATTTAGCTTAATATCTGCGGATGAAACTTAGAGTTCTTATGTTAGCCATTAATTTGCCTGGGGCAATATCTCCAACGTATTCGACGAATGAGATTGAAAATGTCACAACACGAATCGCCGGGCAAGATAACCCCATAGACGAAATTTCATCAAAATATGAGAGGTAGTGTGTTATTTCGCGATTTTTTAGTCGATCTGTCGTGGAACGCCCCAAGTAGTGATGTCAATTACAGAAAATCGGAATACCGATACCAAACCAAACTCTAACAAAAAAAAACGTGAAAATACCGAAACCAAACCAACTTGAGAATAACTATGAGGGAAATACCAACTGTTAAGCTAATTTTCAGCCTCTTATACAATATTAGTCAGGGTTCGCAATACCAACAAAATACCAAAAGCATAAGAACTGAAATACCAAATACCAACTTGGTATCGGTTTGGTATCGGTATACCAAGAAGTTGGTATCCGAGTGACATCTCTGATCAGCACCAACAGAGCTGCAGCTGCCGCTGCAGACCGGTCTCATAGTTCCAGAAGCCAGCGTGTTTCGTGCAGCCGGCAGCTGACCCGCTGCTGTTGCTTTGCTGGCTGAGTCGGCTGTGCTGAGTATCCAACCAGGATTTGAAGAGCCCTTTCCCTAGTGAAAAAATCCTACAGGATTTGTACCAAAATCCTGTACGTCCCTACAGGGTCGTGCAGGGTTGCTGGAGTAGCCGTACAGGATTTCATGCAGGCAAATATGGCTGTACATGGAATCCTACAGGGTGCCCTGCACGACATCCAACAGGGGACCCTGTACTGAATCCTACAAGGAGCCCTGTACGGCATCTGATAGGGAGCCCTATTGGGAATCCTACAGGGCCCTGTAGGGAATCCTTCAGGGAGCCCTGTATGCAATGATACAGGGAGCCCTGTGCGCAGTCATACAGGGAGCCCTGTGCGCAGTCATACAGGGAGCCCTGTACGCAGTCATACAGGGAGCCCTGTACGCAGTCATACAGGGAGCCCTGTACGCAGTCATACAGGGAGCCCTGTACGCAGTCATACAGGGAGCCCTGTACGCAGTCATACAGGGAGCCATGTACGCACCCATGTGAAAAAGTCTTATACGATTTTACCAGAATCTTCACTATCTTGCATGATCTTATAAGATTTTGAAGACAGTCTTGCAAGGCCTAGCAGAGCTTGTATGTACAAGATTGGCCAACATCAAACAGATCTTATAAGAATCTGCCTGGCATAGGCAGATTCTTGCGAGAATGCTGATTCTGGTAAGATTGAAGAATCTTACAAGAATGTGCTGATCCCATGGAAGGCTACTCCCGCTAATCGTTTTTCGCACAAATCATAATTAAAGAGCTCGCTTAACTCTCAAGTAAATGCGATCATTTACTCCACACGGACTACGTGGAGAACAGTTATAAACGATGCACCTGTCAAGTAAAGTATGAGGAGTACCTACCTAGGGAGAAATGCCTCGCCCCGGTGCGTTGATATGTTGGACAATGGACACAATGGACAATGGACAATCTGCAACCTACCGGGATTTATTCATCTCCTCAGGACGGTACTGCTCATTATTAGAACTGGCGGGGACATAAGCATTCGAATGTTGTCAACATTGTCCCGATATATAGGGAATTACGAATTGTGAATTGATCCCTATAAAAGAATCGATTCACTTCATAACTCCCCAATCCCTTCATAACATTATCAACTTAATTTGATGCGTTGCTGTACTGTATTATTCGGGGACTAACTAGTGTGCATTTGTGCGCTGTGGTGATCTTTCAGAGACTGTACCGACTGGAATTTAGCGCCCGCTGTCCGTTTTAGAGACCGTACGGTCGGCGGCGGGCGTCCCGATCCTCGCCTGGGGCGGAGAGGGGAGCGCGCGTCCCCCTCCGCCGCATTCCGTCCGTCCCATTCACTGCTCGCTCGCGGTGTGCGGAGAGCCGACGGAAGTGTCGAGTGTGTGCCGTGCGGTGTCGTCTGCCGTCTCTTCTTCCGACCTGAAGGTAAGTTTCTGCCATGCTGTATTGCTGTGTAACAATACGAAAATTGTTCTCAATATTGGCAGCATTACAGACAAAAAAATGGCGCCGAAACGTTCACTCAAAAATAGCTGATCGAAAAAGATAGCTGAAAAAATAGACATTTAAATGTCTACTATCAGATACCAGAGCGCATTAGTAGCGTCGACGCTACTACATAGTAGCACACAACATTAATTCAATATTAAAAATTGGTTATATCCAGGTTGATTGTCAACATTGAGGATCAACCGTTTTTCGACATCGATCCAGCATTTATTTCACGTTGAATTTGCGTTGTATTTGGTTGATAGGAGATTGATAGGTATGCAATAGTGTGATACAACATCAAAATAATGAATGCGGCCGGTGACTCTGTGAGGTGCGGACGTCTGATGGAGAGCTCCGCCATGTGGCTCTGTTGTGAGGCGTATTGAAGTGCCGCAGGGTCCGTGACTTACCTTTCGGTGTAGTGGAGTGCCGTCGTTTTCGTGGTGATGGTCTGGTCGCCGTGCATCGCTCGGTATTTCGACACTGACAACTTCTGATGGGGTCAGGCGGAGGCGCGCCACGTTCGTCTGCCCGCCGCTCGATTGTATACAATGCTGACCGCGGATGCCACGGGGTCACGCCGCTCCGCTTCGACGGTGGCGCCATCTATCGGAGACGCACGTGGGTGCAGCTTACCACGGTCGCCGTTCTCCTGCTGCTGGCACTGCTGAGCACAGCTGCCCCGGATCGCCAGGCGGCGCCACCCATCATCAGCAGACGGATCACGGTCACCCGGGCGGTAAGGTGTGGTCACTACTGCCGACCCGAGTCCCGTACGACTCCAAGACCGATGCCACCTATCAAGGTTGCCGATTGTTGATCCGATGTGGTGATGTCGAGATCAATCCCGGGCCCTCTCAGCCCGCCACAGACACCGGCCGGCCATCCCGAGCACCGCGCGGCGGCACGCAGCAACGGACTCTGACTGCCTCTCTGCTAAACGCTCGCAGCATCAAAGCCAAGCTGGGAGAGCTCAGAGCTGCGAGCCCTGAGTTGAGCCGCCTGGATCTCATCGCCATAACGGAGACGTGGCTCAATGACACCGTCTCGGACTCTGAACTGTCGGCCGGGCTACCGAATCACACCTGGTTTCCGCTGCGACCGCGGCTCGCTGGGCGGCGGCGTGGCCTGCGCGGTCCGCTCTCAGCTGCAGCCGTTCCGCCTGCCCGACCCGCCCGGCTCAGAGATGCTGCTCCTTCGGCTGGCGGCCGTCTCCGTCACGGTGGCGGTGTGCTACAGGCCGCCTGATGACGACGTGTCGCTGGTGCGGCTGACCGAGGCGATCAGCGGCTTATCGGGGTGTGACAGCCTGGTCCTGGTCGGCGACTTTAACCTGCCGGAGGTCCAATGGCGGCCAGCGGACGACTCCTCGGCGACACCGGTGTTGCAGCGACGAACTGACCGCGCGTGCGTGTTTTTGGACAATTGTGACCTCCTTGGACTGAAACAGTGGGTCTTACAGCCAACACGAGGACTGAACACCCTCGACCTAGTGTTTACCCGTGGTCTTACCTGCAGTGCTGTGGCTAGGGACGGCTGGCTTGTTTCCGATCACTTGGAGGTCTTCACTAGTATACCGATACCGGCATTTTCACCACTCTTAGTCACACGGACCACAGTTTTTAATTATAAGAGGGCAGACTTTGAAGGACTCCGTAGAGTTCTGGCACTTTCGCCCTGGTCCATGCTAGATGATCTGGAACTGAACAGCGCAGTTGATTTGTTCTACTCACTATTGGAGGCTGCTATATGTGATCATGTACCACGTGTGACTCTGCGTCGTTTGTTTCCGCCGTGGTTTGACGCCGCTGCGCGTCAGGCTCTCAAAGCGAAGGAGACTGCTTTCCGGAGACTACGCCGGAGTCCCAGTGATGAATCACGACGCGATTACTCGGACAAGCGCTCGGCGTTTAAAAACATTTGTAGCCGGCGTTATGCCATGTATCTGCGTGATCTAGTCGATAGCTTTAAGTCGAACCCGAAAAGATATTGGACGTTTCTGAAATGTTTTAGGAAAACGGGATCTTTACACCCAATTTTAAGAGACGGTGAAACGCTCATCTCAGACGATATTGGCAGAGCCTCCCTACTGAACAGGGTATTCGCATCTAAGTTCACTGATCCCAACGTGTCGACCTACCCCGCTGTAACGCGACACGACCTGCCGGCCCTGAACCGTATCGCTGTATCCGCGGATAGAGTGTGTGCGATTCTGAAATATATACCAGCAACCAAGGCGTGCGGGCCCGACGGGATCAGTGCTCGTATTGTTCATGAGTGTGCCTCAGAGCTGTCCGTGCCACTGGCCAAACTCTGCGACATGTCACTGCGACAAGGCATTTTTCCATCCAAATGGAAACAGGCAAACATTGTGCCGATACACAAAAAGGGTGACAAAAAAGATCCCCGAAATTATCGATCTGTGTCTCTTCTTCCACTTTTTGGCAAGGTTATTGAAAAAATTGTTGTTGACGAGCTTCTGCGACACGCTGCACCAGTGCTATCCCCAGCACAACACGGTTTCCTGCCTGGCCGATCCTGTATCACCAACCTTACCACCTACCTTCACACTGCCTGGGGCTCGATCTCCGACGGGTGCCAGACGGACACAATATACACGGATTTCTCTGCGGCTTTCCAAAGTGTTAATCATAAATTACTCCTGTTCAAACTATCCGAGTCTTACTGTATTAGCGGCAAAATTTTGGATTGGTTCGTCTCGTACCTGTCGGAGAGAGAGCAGAGAGTGATCGTGAATGGAAGAACTTCTGAGTGGGCTAAAGTAAAATCCGGAGTTCCGGAAGGGGCCCTTCTGGCCCCTTTGCTTTTTTCTCTCTTCATCAATGATTTGCCGACGGTTGTGTCGTCGTCCAAATGCGTCATGTATGCGGACGACGTCAAAATCTACCGGCAGATTTCAACTCCTGCTGATTGCGGCCTCCTTCAAACCGACCTCATCAACATTTGCAAATGGTCCACCGATTGGTGTCTTTCTCTCAACGCTCAGAAGTGCCTTTCGTTCACGGTCACTCTCAAAAGAGCACCCATCTTGCACACCTACCTTGTCAACAGTTTCCCCCTTCAGCGTGTCGCAGAAGTTCGCGATCTTGGAATTGTGCTGGACTCTAAACTAACGTTTTCGGCTCATATTACCAGTTCAATAGCAAAAGCAAACAGAGCCCTCGGACAGCTATTCAGATCTTTCCAGACCGGCTTGCCCAGACAAAAACTTGATCAGAGGGCTCTGGTAGCTACATATTACGCAAACGTCCGATCTATTCTTGAATACGGTAGTGTTGTGTGGTCTGGCGCAGCCAAAGTTCATTTAAAACGGTTAGAACGAGTCCAGCACAAATTCCTAATGTGGTTAGCAGCTCGGGCCGGTGACACGGACAGATCAATTTGCCTGGAATACTGTCATCTTTTACACTTCTTCCATGTTTCGTCACTCGAGGCGCGGCGCACTCAGTTCGATCTTTTATTCCTGAAAAGCATTTACTCTGGACGCATCGACTCGTCTTTTTTATTAGCCTCGTTCGCACTACATGTACCAAGTCGTCCAACACGGAACGTCCAGTTATTTAATGTGCCGTTTGCTCGAGTCTCGACGGTAAAGACAGGAACTTTTACAAGGCTGGCGGCCCAGGCAAATGATTTTATCGCCAGGAATCCTCAGGTGGATTTCACGTCGGATACCTTTATCTCTTTTAAATCATTCGTCGTGGTCCACTGCAGGAACATGCCTTTGAGAACCGTGTCTTAGAGATTTTAAAGTTTGTTTGTACTTTTCCTATTCTTATTGTTTTTTTTTCTTTTAATTTAATTTTATTTTTACTGTGTACTTTTATATTATATCCTATTATTTAATGGATCTCTTTCATGGATCTCTGTATTTTTAAGTGTCATCTAATTGCGAATGAGTGCTTAGTGTTTACCTAGTGTGTGTATTTTATGTTGTGGTATGACTTCGCCTGTTAATGGGCCATGAGCCTGTTGGCGATTTATTTGAATAAATAAATAAATAAATAAAAAGTATGCCGATCACTTTGTATCGCGTTGTATGTATCACTTATATGCCGATTAGTTACTTTCGACGGCAGGGGTCCCTTCAATCAATATATTATCATTGTAACATGTGAATATCCACCTTGTTACAGGAACGCAGGATGCGAGGATCGTCGGGCGACACCACCACTCGAGATTCGTAGATCGATGGACGGAGCGGCAGCCGCGACGCGACGACGTGTGTCGTAATGTGACGGGATGTGACCCGGAAATGGCTGTGTATTTATCCCAGAAATACATTTATTCCGAATATTGACTTTGTCGGTAACGCGGAAACTCGTGGGTCTTTTTAGCATTCCTGGTCAATCGGCTCAACAGCACAATAACAAGATGCGGAATACTTATAGAATGGCGAGTGTGGTGCCCTGTACGAGATCCTTTACGATACCCTGTACGACACCGTGCACGGCACCCTGTACCACACCGTGCACGGTACCCTGTACGACACCGTGCACGGTACCCTGTACGACACCGTGCACGGCATCCTGTACGACACCGTGCACGGTATCATGTACAACACCGTGCACGGCACCCTGTGCGACACCGTGCACGGCACCCTGTACGACACCGTGCACGGTACCCTGTACGACACCGTACACGCCCTAGTGAAAAAGTCCTTAAGGATTTCGCCAGAATCCCCACAATCCTTAAGGATCCATAAGGACCCATATGGATCAGATATGAAATCCTTAAGGATTCTACGGACCTTCTAGAATCCTTAAGGACACATTCGCCGATCCGTAAGGATTTTAGGGCGATGTTTGGTATCCTTAAGGATCGCTCAGCATTCCGTAAGGAAATTGCTACTTGCTAGTGTCGCTTAATCCTTCAGGATAGCCGATGCAGCCAGTACGTCAATCATTATGGAGTGATTGAATCATCCCTAGTATTATTCCGTGCTCCGTATCCGTTAATTTCTTAACCATATGACATATACGGCATGTAAAAACTTTGTGACGGACCAAAGCAGCGTTCGTTATCATCATAGGCGCGGGAACCGGGAGGCGAGGGGGGCAGTGGGAGCAGCTTGCCCCCACTTTTGTGCTGCAACTTTGAAATTAAATATTTTCGATTTATGGCATTTCTCGATATTGCGAGTGCCAAAACCGGTGATTGTGAGCCAGGGATAACAAGTTGGCTACCTTAACTCAGAATTAATATTTAGCTGGGATGATCACCCAAATGTCCACGCTGGGTTCACCCAGACTCCAAATCAGATAGACGAATAGTTCTGATAAAAAGTACCTATTGGTATCTCAACCAAGTGCCACAGTATGCATGTATCGCTTGGCCTTAGTGTCACCGGTGCCACAGCGTTTGCGCTGTGCTCTTTCAGAGACCGTACCGACTGGAATTTAGCGACCGCTGACCGTTTCAAAGACTGTACGGGCGGCAGCGGGCGGTCTGATCCTCGCCTCCGGCAAGAGGGGAGACCGCGCGTCCCCCTGTCGCATTGTGCCGCCGCCGCTCGCGGGATGCGGACGAGTCTGTTGAGTGTGTTGTGCCGTCTGCCGTCTCCTCTTCGGGCCATGTAAGTTTCTGCCATACTGTGTATCAATGAAATAATTGATCCTAGTTATTGCATTGATAGATAAAAAAAAAAAAACGGCGCTGAAACGTTCACTTCAATTAATGGCGATCGTCGTCCTCATTCATTTGGCTGCGGCAAATGAAAGTACTACCGGTAGCGTCTTTTAGCGTCATGCCTTGGAACGAGGCCCAGGTAAATATAATAGAATGGATTCAGGGTAGTAGGACGTAGGTGCATATGTGATGCATTGCTAGATGAACATACACAGGCATCTAAGCTGGAAATGACTGAACTGAATTTACTCAAAGGCTCACCAATATTCTTTGGCTGGGACTACAGTCTAAGCCTAAGAGCAGAATTCGTGAGCCTTTGAGTAGGT